TGGAGCATGCTCCACTCCTCTGGTTGTGAGGAGAGACAGTTGCCCGAGAGTAGGTCGCATGGATTCATATTATATAGGAAATGCTTTTAGTTACTCAAAGTCAGTTGATTTCAGATATTAAAATTTGAAAGGCATTATAATAAACCTCATTTCCCAAAAGAAATTCACTTAGTATAAGTTTCCAAACATACAGTCAAATTAAGAAATTCTCACGGATCGTTTGGAACCCCTGGGTCTACGGAGGGACTTCGGTTTCCTCTGTATTTGGTACTGTATGTTCCATGGGGAGCGCTCTGAGGAATTGTTGGAGATGATTCCTCTCTCCTTTTTATCATCGCACCTCCCGCCATCGGAGCAGAGTTCATCCATATTATCTGGAACCGCTGCGTTCATCGACAGTGCGTTTCCAGAGGTCTTTTTTGCCACGTACCATCCGGCTATTGGAATGACTCCCCTCCACGGTGTTTTCCGAGCGCTATGACATGTCCTTCTTCAAACGAGGTTGGAGATTTATGGTAGGCAGCGGCTTGGCTCTGCCCCTGCATTGCTGACGTCCATGGGCGACGGTAACCACTACCATCAGGTGGGCCGTATGCTCGTCTGCCTACAAGGCAATAAAAAAATGTTAACTTATTTAGTTCTCTTAATTGGCTTTTAAAAGGTTATATTTTCGTATTTAAATGAGGAAAACCAAGAGGCTGAATTGTTAAAATTATTTCACTAAATGAGAAACGAAATAAAATGTCTAGCTCCTAAAGTATCTTTATTAATATTATCTAATAGCACTTTGTAAATAGAAGATCAAAAATCAAACATTTTTTCTTGCTTTTCTTTGCACATACTTACTCACATGCTTATTTGGCATATTTTTGTGTTGTGTTCGCCTCTTCACGTCAAGAACAGACCATGAGATTTTTCGGGGTACAGTTATTGTGATCAGAATATGGAATGCTGGAAATAGTTTCCTCCCGGGATTTAAAGATATCTTTTTGAATGTATAATATTTATTAATTTCATAATAGTTAATAAACTTCAGTTTAGATATTAACCTTCAGTTTAGATAATACCCGCACCTTAATGTTGCCTGATTTCTTGCAGTTGTAAGCAAACTAACATTAAGGTGCGGGTATTATCTAAACTGAAGGTTAATATCTAAACTGAAGTTTATTAACTATTATGAAATTAATAAATATTATACATTCAAAAAGATATCTTTAAATCCCGGGAGGAAACTATTTCCAGCATTCCATATTCTGATCACAATATTGTATCCCGAATAATCTCAACGGGTCTTGTTCTTGACGTGAAGAGAGGCGAACACACACAAGAAATATGGCCAAATAAGCATGTGAGTAAGTATGTGCAAAGAAAAGCAAGAAAAATGTGATTTTCGATCTCTTTATTACAAATTGCTATTACGGATAATACTAATAAAAGATACTTTAGGAGCTTAACATTTATTTGCGTTTCTCAGTTTAGTGGAAAATGAATTTTAACAATTTCAGCCTCCCTCGTGGTTTTCCTCATTTAAATACGAAAATATAACCTTTTAAAAGCCAATTAAGAGAACTAAACAAGTTAACATTTTTTTTTTATTGCCTTTGTAGGCAGACGAGCATACGGCCCACCTGATGGTAAGTGGTCACCGTCGCTCATGGACGTCAGCAATGCCAGGGGCAGAGCTAAGCCGCTGCCTACCATAAAGTACTCTCCGCAAGCCTCGTTTGAAGAAGGACATGTCATAGCGCTCGGAAAACACCGTGGAGGGGAGTTCATTCCAAAGCCGGATGGTACGTGGCAAAAAAGATCTTTGGAAACGCACTGTCGATGAACGCAGCGGTTCCAGATAATATGGATGAACTCTGCTCCGATGGCGGGAGGTGCGATGATAAAAAGGAGATGAGGGAATCATCTCGAATAATTCCTCAGAGCATTCCCCATGGACCATGCGGTATAAAACACAGAGAGAACCGAAGTCCCTCCGTAGACCCAGAGGTTCCAAACGATCCGTGAGAATGGGATTATCGATGGCACTTGCTTTACGGGACCGAGACAGAACATCGCCCCACAATCCCCACTGATAACTAAAGTAGGACCTTATTGCTCATTGTACAGCTTCAGCATATGAGCTTTTGTTAATAATTTGGGGATTTTAGTTGATAAAAAACCCTAGATATGAGTACCATCGGGTAACAGCTAGTGAAATCGTCATATCTATTTCGCTACATCTTCGTCCCTGTGGCGTCCTCCACACAGTGGCAGACATGCAAAAAAATCGTACGGTGTAATGTGCATAAACAAAACGTAAAAAGCTCGACTCGTACGACGGCCGGTCACGTCACCTCCCGCCCGCCAGTCCGCACCACGCTTTCGCTTGCGACGCATGTGACACTGCTATAATATTATAAACAATCGTTCTACCGCCAGTAAATATATTTTATCATTTTGAACTTATAATTAATTATCCACTTCTTCTTTCTGCTTTCCTGTGCTTGTGCTTCTTACCAAAATACAAACTATTAACTGTTGGTGGAGTGTTTAATTTGGGATATATTCTGGAACACGCCGGGACAACCCCGTATCTCCCGCTACACGGACCACCACACTGGTGACCCCGACAACAAGAAGATAAGTAGCATAAAACAGTAAGAAGACGATTTACATTAGTCATGGCCAATCAAGATGGCGGATCGAAGTCAAACAATGGATCATCGAAGACTTTTACACCATCCGACACGACCGACATTTATCGTATCGGAGTGCGACCACCACCATTTTGGGCCGAAGAACCAGCCGTTTGGTTCTCACAGCTAGAAGGCAATTTTGTGCTGTCCGGTATTAAGGATGACGATACAAAATTTTATTATGTCACTTCAACACTAGAACATAGATATGCCGCAGAAGTGAAAGATATCATCGTTTCACCTCCAAAAACCGGGAAATACGAACGATTGAAAAGCGAACTGATCAAGCGTCTATCTACATCACGAGAAAAGGAAGTAAAGCAGCTACTTATGCATGAGGAGCTTGGGGACCGACGACCGTCGCAATTTCTCCGACATTTGCAGCAACTCGCAGGACCAACGGTTCCAGAAGAATTTATAAAAACCATCTGGACCAGCCGCTTGCCCACTACACTTCAACCGATCATTGTATCTCAGAAACGACTGGATTTACTGGCTTTAGCAGACCTAGCCGACAGTGTGCACGAAATAATACCATGCTCGCCTCAAATAGCCACAACATCAGCACTAAAGGCTACAGAACCGTCGCTCGCGTCGATGGCCAAACAGATCGACGAACTTTCAAGGCAAGTGAAGGCACTTACGACTCATAAACACCGCTCCAGATCTAGGACTAGAAGAGACAGTCCAGATAGAAAAACGAAACGGTCACAGTCTAGCTATAAAAAGTTTCCGACATGTTGGTACCACTATAAATTCGGCAATCAAGCGAAATGGTGCACAAAACCTTGTGATTTTCGGCCGGAAAACTACCAAGGCAGTCGGTAATGGCGACGTCCGATAGCCAACATGTACCTGGTCGCCTATTTGTTTCTGATCGGAAAACGAAGATGCAGTTTTTAGTTGATACTGGCAGCGATCTCTGCGTCTTCCCCCGCACCGCTCTACGCGAACGGCGATCACCCACCAGCTACAAACTCTACGCAGCAAACGGAACTGCCATAGCCACCTACGGTTTCGCTCACCTAGAGTTGAACTTGGGCCTCCGTCGTGCCTACCAATGGCGTTTCATCGTGGCAGACGTCACAAAAGCCATCATTGGAGTCGACTTTCTATCATTCTACGGCCTCATCGTCGATTGCCGTAATCATCGCCTAATCGACAGCACTACGACATTGACGACACCAGCAGCTGCAGTTTTATCGTCGAACACTATTTCTTCTGTGAAGACATTGATCGGCGAAACAGCTTACCATCAATTACTGCGTCAATTTCCTGAGATAACGCGCCCTGCTGGGACCGACCGTGTCATCCATCACGGCACAGTCCACCATATACGGACTACGCCGGGACCTCCAATTTCATGTGCTCCACGCCGCTTAGCTCCGGATAAACTGCTTATCGCCAAAGAACAATTCGCAGCTATGCTGAAAAATGGAACTGCTAGACCATCAGAGAGTCCATGGTCATCACCTCTCCACTTAGCACCGAAGAAAAACAGCGGA